TGTGTGTGTGTGTGTGTGTGTGTGTGTGTGTGTGTGTGTGTGTGTGTGCGCGTGCAATCTGTGCAAGAAATCGATAGCCTTGCAATTGATCGATCGATGTACCATTGGCAAATATGATCGATTGATGGACTGTAATTACTTGATTTCACTGCTATAGCGGCGATGTTGAGTTGATCCTTTTGAGGATATTATTGCCTGCACCAACTCATCTCCAATCAAATTCACTCAAAGTCACTCCGCAGAGCCACGGCCTGCCGCGCGTTCCCCAGCACAAGAAGTTACTTGATTCGACTGTTCTCGCGGCTATGTGATCTGCCCCGGCTAATCTGCTCTGCCCCAAGTCCTTACTTGATCTGATCTGCCCCAGCACAACTTTGCCAAAGGACAGAGCCGCAAGGAGTCGAAGAGGGAGAGGGAGAGGGAGAGGGAGGATTTACCGCCGCTTACCCACCTCTCTCTCCTAAGGAGGGATACGACAGCCTCTGTCGATCTGATCAGGCATGTCCCAGCCAGCATCCCGGCTCCTCCACCCCGAAGGCGCCAACAGGAGACCTCACACTTTCCCCCCTCAAAACTTTGCCCTTTACTTTACCCACCACATTCAACCAAACCTGACACACGTATATATATATATATATATATACTAATAATAATAATTCCTCTGTGGAGGGCAGCAGCGCACTCTGCTACAATCCCATCTGCGCTAATCGTGAGAGGAAGGGGCCGTCCTCCCCACATCATCTCCAAATTGGCATTCAGCAGCAGAAACACCACATCGCCTCCGTCGGTCGATCTACATGGTTGCGAAACCAAAACCCCTCTGACTCTCGGTAAAACCCTCCGCGGCCCTCTCCCAACAAAAAACCCCGCCCGCCAGTGTGAAAACGCTCAGGCCCATCTACCACTCCTACAATCCTACAAACAAACTACCCCAGTGTGAAACCTCACCCAACTCCCTTTCCCGGCCTCGAACGAAACGCAAACCCTAAACCAAACAAGCGTGGTCGACTGATAATAGCTCGTCCAGCAGGGGAAGGGAGGGAAGGGAGAGCGGCGGGCAGTGTGGACACCCGCGAAGCGTTCCGGCAAATGCTGGGACAGTTGGGGGGGCGGGAGGCTTTTTTCGGAGCGAGGTTCGACCGTCTTCCCCCGAACATAACGCACCCTCATCATGAATGTATAGAAGCTATCTTTCCGGTCGGGTGCAGGCAAAATGAGGGTGCGTTATGTTCGGGGGAAGACGGTAGAGGGAAAATACACAGTAGACAGCGTTGCGGGGAATTTTTTTATTTTATTTTTTTAGCGAACGAGAGATGTCGATCGAGTCAGGCGTCGAGGACCCACGAAAATAATTAATATAATAGAATAGAGAATGCCAAAACCGGCGGGGCCAGCGTTGAACCCACCACCGACCGAATGGCAGTTGTAGGCGTAACCAACTGAGGGCACGCTCACACCGCGGTACCAAATCCGGATAATCCCCAGAATCCCGAAAACATCGTGTCGAGGGATAGTCAGATCGGGATCTCACTTCCCCAAAAAAACACTTATTCGGGACCCCGTTTGTCAGCGGCCTGAAGGGCCGCGGGGGTTGGGAATTTGCGGTAGCCTCGGGAGGTTACAGCATATTGTCTTGGGCGCGGGCGCGGGGAACGCAGCCTTAAGGTAGCCAAATCAATGAGACTAAGAGCTCGCACAAGAGAGAGAGAGAGAGAGAGAGAGAGAGGGAGAGAGAGAGTTTGCGGTAGCCTCAGGAGGTTACCGCAAATTCCCCCCCTTTCTTGTTTGGAATCAACCTGCGGAAATGGAAAGAAAGTCGAAGACGAAGATATTGCCATGCCATGCCAGGAAATGTGATCTCGCAGTGCGACTGGAGCAGTCGAAGAGGACCCAAATCCAGCCCGTCGCAACGGTGTCTGTTGCCAAATGGGGTAACCAGTGTGACCCGTCCAGCCACTTTTTCCCACCAAATGGGGTGAGCCTGCCCAGAGCGAGGATGCTATGTCCACCCCTTCTCCCTCCTACCCACTTTCCATCTCATCTTCTATGTGAGGACATTGCTTGTTGACCTGTTGTTTGCTCTGGAGACTATTGTATTACCCACCACTGGGGGAGGGCCAAGTACACCCATGGACTGTTAAAATACACTGAACGCAGAAACCCCTGAGCTTTTTTTTTTTTAATTATGTTTTTTTTTTCAGAAAAACCCTGAGCTTTAGGCGATCATGTTGATCTGAGTTGGAATGCTGCGGAGGACATTTTGGGACAATGTCTGCAAGTGATTACAGTCAGATCCAGCAAGCAGGGCCTAACTGCGGTCAGATACATTTAGGAAAATGCACTCGGTCGGCGTACCCATGAACTGCCGGAATGCAGACTCGAGTTTGAATCCGCTTCTATGTTCAGTTGTGTAGGCCCCCCTCCTCCCGCCCTTGCCAAATGCTGCAACAGGGAGAATGTATGTAGCTTAGATTTCGTTCTGCGTACATCAAAAATGTATGGAAAAGACCACACAACATGCACATGATTCTCCTGACATCTACCCTCTTCCCTTGAACAGAACGAACCGTCATTACAGCTGTACCTACGAGCAAACTTGGCCCAGATATAGCTATAAAGACCATGCGTTCTATTCGAGGGAAGACAGTGTCCATCTTGGAGACTATGCATACAAAAGTAACATCCTTTCATTAACATTCCATTGTCTTCTCTTCAATCGCTCATCACTTGATACAAAAAGACAATTCTGTTCGCAGCCCAGCCCTAAGGCTGCGGTATAGTGGGCTTCGGCATCTGTGTCAAGGTGTCGCATTTTCAGCGGCGGGCGACCAGGACGCAAAGTGGGTTCTTAGGGGTCAAAAAAATTGGGGGACCGGTCCTTCCCAAAATTGCGGACTACCTACAGCTAGCTCTGGTAGAACCGGGACTTTTGGAAAAAGGACGGACCGGTCCTCGGGTCGAAGCGGACCCCAAAAAGAAGTGGGGGGCGTTGGACTGGTCCTCGGGTGAAAACGGACCTCAAAAAAAAGTGAAGGCATGCGAAACTCAAAAGGGCCCTCAGGCCCAGGCGTTGAGGCCCAGGCGTTGAGGCCCATCTTCTCAAAACAGGGAGGTCAGGCGCAATGAAACAGGCGTTTTGCAAGAGGCCACTTTGGCAAATTTCTGTCCTCAAAGGAACCCGCAGAAAAATCTCAAATTTTGAGAATCAATAGATCAGGTCGTGTTCTTTCCAGGAAAAATATCAGAACACTTTCAAAAAATCATTAAACTGCGAAATAATTGTCGCTACGATTCAGCACATTTTCCATTTTTGCCACTCAACCACGTGTTGGTCAACTGAAAAAGTACTCCAAATTCAGTGAGTGTTCGCGCTCAGAAGAATGCGTGAAAAGAAACTGAAAATTGGAGTACTCATAGATTTTGTTGTGATCTTTCCAGGAAGAATGCTAAAAAAAAGAAAAAAAATCATTCCAACTGTGAAATAGATCGCGGCCGCAATTTGACCCATAGTTCAATTTTGCCATTCACCCTTTCTCTCTCTCTCTCTCTCTCTCTCTCTCTCTCTCTCTCTCTCTCTCTCTCTCTCTCTCTCTCTCNCTCTCTCTCTCTCTCTCTCTCTCTCTCTCTCTCTCTCTCTCTCTCTCTCTCTCTCTCTCTCACACACACACACACACACACACACACAGAGACAGAGACGGAGACAGACATAAGTCCGACGCAACAGCCTGGCACAGTCATGCATTTTTTCTGGAGTTGTCACACACAGAGGACACAAAAGGCCCGACGCAAAAAGCTTCATCAAAGACGTACACACGCGCGGGCAAGGGAACACAGTGCGGGACACGAGCAAATGCGTTCACAGTCATATCGGATACAGCACCAGGACTCGTAGGAGAGGGAAAAACGGAGCGGCGTGTGGAACTCGTTTGCTTTCTCTGTTCTACCTCCCTCCTTCCACACGCCGGAAGACACGGAGGAGACTATGCCTCCGAAAACGAACCAAAACAAAAGGGCTCGGGAACATTGCCACAGAGGGAGCAACCGAAGGGACCGGGTAAACAATAACGGATTAGGATCGAAGGGAGGAAGAGGAGGACAAAGGCGAGACTAAGAACAGGAGGGAAACACTCGAGAACCTCTACCCGCCTCCTTTTCCTGCCCAGCTCGCTTACAGCATGGGTACGGTGAGCAGCCCACTCAAGAATGAACAAACTACGGGCAGCGGCACCACCTATGGAGGGGGGACCAAAGGGAGAGAGAGAGAGAGAGAGAGAGAGAGAGAGAGAGAGAGAGAGAGAGAGAGGTGAGGAGAATAGTAAGCAATCGCGTCAGGAAACAACACGCTAGGGAAAAAGGACACACAGAGCGAGAGAGAGCGAGAGAGAGAGAGAGAGAGAGAGAGAGAGAGAGAGAGAGAGAGAGAGAGAGAGAGGCTTGTTGCAAGGGGAAAGGGGGTGAAAACAATTGAATAGACGAGCAAAAGCATGTTTTATTTTGGGGTGTATATGTCACATTCCGTAAGGAAGAGAGACTCGTCAAATGAACAATCAATCGGACGATTGATTGCTTGAGTGATTATGAACGCGAGCAACGTTTTTAAAAAAATGAACATCAATGAAAGAATGATTACGAGCGAGGGCGAGCTGCCCATACGCCGGTAATTGAGTAAGAGTACACATTCGACCTCGAGACCAATCCAAAAGAGGAGCGAGAGAGAGAGAGGCTGTCCTTAGCAGCGTGTTGCGTGTTGCGTGTTGCGTTCCGAGTTACTTGTCGCAAAGAGGAATGGCAGCTGATACGAGCGAGGGCCACCAGTCTTCACCCTCTGCGCGCGAGCCGCCCTCGTTGTAAAAATGGTATCGTCAATCAGCTGCCTCTCTCCGCGGCCGCCCCGCCCTCCTCCCCCTTTTCGTACACTCTCGACCTTTCGCTCCCGCGGGGAGCGGGCGGCCGCTAAGCCTTGTCTTTCCACCACCCCGCCTTTTGCATCGAGTGCGCCAGGCAGGAGGCTCCCCGCCTCTCCGCACGCTCCCCGCGCCTATTCTTTATCACCGCCCTGCCTTCGGCACCGCCAGCTGGAGCCGCGGGCGAGGGGCGCGGAGTGCAGGTGGCACATCCTCTCTACACGCTCTCCGCCTTTTTTCACCGACCTCAGCGATGTGTACCGCGGCGGCGGGCGGGCGGCGCGCAGGCGGCCTCACTGCAGGCTCCCCGCCCTTTTTCCCTGTGGCCTTCGTCAAAGCGTGGTCTCGACATTAACCAGAAAAAAAAACAGAGAACGAACAATGAACGAACAATGAATCATCCGGGAACGTAATCAGAGTCGTCCTCATCATCCGCCACCACCTCTATTAACCCTCTCCTTCTCCAAGAGACCGTGGGGGTTGTTGCTTGCTGCCGCTGATGAGGCTGATGATGATCCTCATCGGCTATAGTATTACGGCTCCCTCCGCTGCCGCCTTCTGCAGATCTCTCCGCTCGCCTACTGCTTCTTTCTCCTTCTCCTTCTCCTCCTCCCCCTTCGCCGCCGCCGGCGTCTCCACCTCCTCTCTCTTCTCCTCCTTCGGCTCCCGCTCCGGCCTCGTCTTCTTGTCTTCCCTCTTTGGGCACCTGCACATCGTGTAGCATGACCATTCGTTGGCGCCTCCTGACTAAGGCTCTTGTCCTCGCCCCCCTTCGTTCCCAGACGCCATGGCCATCGCCAGAAGCTCTTCCACCTATCATCTTCTCTCGTTCTCTCTCCCTCCCCTCTTCCCTGCTTTCCCCTTTCTCGTCGTCTCCATCCCGTCTCTCTCTGCCATCACCTCCCCTCCGCGTCCTTCTCCTATCCCTTCTAAGACTCCT